TGTTATCATTCTACTTAGGTCTAAACTTTTCTGAAATTGATAGTTATCCAAGCTTGATTTTCCCATCTGAAGAAAGACAAGTAGGATTGATTGTCCCGCATGTGAGCATGTGATGCTGGTGGCCTGGTTATTGACAGCCGGGACTACTGCTGGCCCCTCCCCCTTCGCATGAGGTCACCAGGGGCTGTTGACATGGAGCGCATCCTCCCCGCTTTTTCAGGGTTGCTCCTTTATTGCAGGGTAAAGCAGGGACAGCAGCTCCTTTGTGAAAGAAAACCGAGTGCCTTGGGGTGCCACTCGGGCCCCAATCCGGGGCGCCCATGCTCTCAGGGCTGGGCTCAGGCTCCTCTCCTGGGTGGCCACCCCGACCTTGGCTGTGATCCCGTGCACTCCCCACCCCCTGCGTCCCAGCTTGGCCAGGGTCCCGCAGGGCCCGCCGTGGGGCTTGGGTGGCCTCTGGTCAGCGCCCTGACCCAGGCCTCCTGTCCTCTGTTCGTTCGCCTGCAGCTTTCTGCCCGGGGGGCCTGGCAAGCTGTCTCCGCTTGGCCCTGGGGAACACGTCCTCATCAGGCTCCTCGTCCACGGCCTGGCAGAAGTGCTGGGCTTCGTCCTCCTCCTGCCGCTGGCCAGGTGGAGCCTCTCGGGCGCCCCAGTGTCCTCAGCCTCGCTGTCCCCTTCAGCCCCAGCCCATGCTTTCTTCGTGCCTGCCGGGCTCTTCTTGCGGGCCGCGCTGTACGTTCTGGGCCTGCTGCTCCTGACTCTGCGCCTTGAGCCTCCGCTTCTCCTCCTTAGCCGCCAGGATGGACTGGAGCTCCTCCTCCGTCTGGAGCGGGAAACTGTGGAACGGCACGCTGCCCCGGCCGACGCCCTCCTGGATCTTGATGAGCTGCAGCGCCATCCGGGGACCATCTCCGGAATGGGAATGTTGTGCCCCGCATCCGGCTCCGCCTCGCTCTCCCACAGCCCGAACCGTGGCCAGCAGCTCGCTGACGTCCTGCAGGCGGCTCGAAGTGTTGGGGAACTTCTCCTGCAGCAGCTTCTTCGTGCCCCAGCTGGCGCCCGCGGGGACCACCTGGATGCTGCGATGGCAGAAGTCCGGCTCCTGGAGTCCGGGATGTAGTCGATGTCATGGTCTGGATAGGAAGTGTCCACCAGAGACTCTTGCCTTGAGGCTTCATCACCAAGGCAACAATGGTCAAAGGTGGAGCCTACAGCCATGACAGGGTCATGAGGAATGGGGTGTCGGGAACTCGGGCCGTCTGGGTGAAAAGGGCCCCTGGGGTGCACCTTTGAAGGGTGCATCCTGCTCCCAGCCTCTTCTCTCGGTGCCTGTTCCTTGATCTCCGCTTCTTGAGGTAAGAAGGGGTTAGAGGTTCTGGTCCACGCCCTTATGCCATGATGTGCCTGCCTTGGAGCTGGACAACCATGGATGGAAACTTCTTCATCCCTGAGCCAGACCAATGTTCCCCGTGTAAAGTTATCACTTAAGGGATGCTGAGTTTCAGTTTTGCAAGGTGAAGAGTTGCAGGGATGATGGTGGCGATGGTGGTCCCACAATGTGAATGCAACCAATGCTGCTGAACTGCACACCTCAAAAATGGCTGAGATGGTAACTTTTACCCCATTTCCTTCCGTGGCCTGGAGAGAAAGGGGTAGCAGAAGGGGTCCATTTTCTGAGCACTCAACACAGTGTGCAGCTTGTCTGGGTGAAGCCCACCACTCCCGGGGAGGGGCAGGGCGAGGAGAACATGGTCCCGGGGGCCTTGGCTGTTGACCCCCTGCTTTCCATGGGAAATGTGGTGCTCTTTGCCAGTGTGGTGCTCAAAGCAGTGTCGGAGCCTCTTTCTCACTGGGTTAGGATCACCTTCTCTGTGGCAGAAGTTTCGTATAGACCGAGGATTTTTGTCATGTCCCCAATTCTGGAGCTGCAGGCATCCTGGGTGACTTTTCTTTTCATGTCACCATCTGAGCTGAAGCGTTGTGTAGCAGATCTTAGGATCCGCAGTGGAATGGTTTCTGCTCACGTTCCAGGAGATAGGAGCCCTGCGTTCCGCCTTGAGCTGCAGCTTCAGTTTTGGATGCTCCACCACGAGACCATGTTCAACCCGTCTGGTCCACTGCACACCGATTAGGGGATCCACATCGAGGGGCCACAGCCTGTGTGGATCTTTAACAGGTTCTGCACCTCACTGTGTTTCTTTGTGTGTGTGTTTGGGGGGGGTTGTGTGCTAGTGAAACAAGGAAGAATTGGGAGAAGAGAGATTACAGAAAACAATGAACAAAAGAGCCCAACTCCCTTAGACAAACAAGGCTAGCCACGAATATCAAATGTACAAAGGTCAAACTAGGTTTGAGTTTTGCTTCCTCTTCTGACTTTCCCAATGAAAGCCACGGTCTTTCTCTTTACCCAGTTTCCTCACTTGTAGAATCAGATCATGTCAATATGTACAACTATCATACGCCTATTTAAAAATGAGGGAAAAGTCTGGCCCTTTTTGGGGTTATTGTAGCAGTGCAATCGAATAGAGTGGTAATTGTGATGTGTGCTTCATTGTGTGGTCCCTCTCTGCCCTTCCTCACACAGGGGCTGTAAGCGTGTGGCCTCACTGACATTTGTCCACTGCAGTACAGGCCCAGGCTGGTTTATGGGGCCCACCTGCTCCCAGCTCCTGCTGCCTGGGGTGAAGCAGGATGCTGCGGGGACTCACTAGACTTGACAGACTGTGGCCCCTACCCTGGAAGGTGCTATAGTGTTGGTACTCTGCCCCGTCCTCCACTGCCTGCTGGCCTAGCGAATTTTCTACCCTTAGTTATTCTGATTTATCTTTGAAGACCGGATGCCTGTGGGCCCGAGGTCCTTCCTTAGCTGAACGAGGTGGGATTTGAGGTGGCTGTCAGTGTGAACCCCAGGCAACCTCTACTTTCGTTATAGCCCCACTTGCGTGCTAAATGGCTCCCTCCTCCCAGAGCTATGACCTTGGACAGTGGCCATGGCCATGGCTAGAAAGAACAATAAACAAAATGAAAAGAGGTGGTGCCCAAGCTCCAGGAGAATCTCAACCCATTTCCAGAAAAAGAAATCAGTTGTCCACCCTTTCCCCCTCCTCATTTTTATACCTTGTTTTCTACCTTATGACTTCCCCACCCCTAACAAGGTGAGAAGTTGGTTTTTGAGTCTGGCTCCCACTTCTCAACCGAGAATGAAAGTCTCCTTCATTGCTCAGTGGGCACTTGGTCTCAGTACTGGTTCTGAGAGGGAGAAAGGACACAGTCTGGTGTCAAACACTGGCACTAACTGGGAGCAGAGCAGGGGGCAGTGGACTCTGACGCTGGAGGGATCTTAGAGGGAGCCGCACACGAGAGCTCCAGCGGGTGTGGCAGGTGCTCCTAGAGGAAGAGCCCGCTAAGCTGCTAGTCTAGGAGCTGCATGGGGCCTGGGGGCGGAGCTCAGTGCTGCAGCTGTTTGCAAGGCCCTGGATTCCATCCCCAGCACGGTCCCCCAATCCTTGGACACAATATTCCACAGCAGCCATAACCAAGGTGCAGCAGGTGCAGGGCACGTGGGAGCCCGTGCAAGGCTGAAGGGGGATGGGGAGGCAGGTGTGCCAGGGAGTGGGGTGTGCACGGCGGATGGGCTCCTTACAATCCTCGGGGTGACGGGCATGGTCTGTGGAGGGTCCCACCATCTGTCAGCGGTTGGTCTTTGTTCCCACAGCCAGGGTGGGCTGGGCTGGGAGAACCTGGCAGGTGGGGTCTGAGCTGGCTGCTCTCAGAGGTCACAGGAGGGTGGGGTGAACGTTGCACCAGCCTGTAGAATGTAGGGTGTGTACTCCTGAGCTGCTAGAAATTTTGAGTTTCATTTTCCCTATTGGGAGCCCTGCCGGGTATATGTACCCCGAGGGTACTCTGCTCACTCCTCAGCCTGCAGCTGGCAACTGGATCTGCTCAGCTCTGGGTGGCTGGGTGGAGTCCACACAGACAGAGGAGGATTCCTTGGTAAGTCGGGAAGCCCAGTTTCCTCATCCTCAGAACATCTTTGCCATAGAATTAGTGTCCCCCAAAGGAGCTCAGAGAGCTTGGGGAATGGGCCCCAGGCTGCACAGTTGAGACTCAGTAGAGCCTGGGTTGTGTCTGACTGCTCCCCTCCCTTGTACCTTCAGCAGAAGAGAGAAGAAGGAGCACACGGATGGGTCACAAAGCTCCCCTGGGCTCAGTGAGACACGGCCAGGTGACCGTGAGGAAA